CAATTTGTATGTTGTCTTGCAATTTTCTGAGTTCCATTAGAGCAATTATTTTGAACTCTTTTCCAAGCAATTAGTAAGTGGTCCATTGTTTGGGATGGGACTCGGAAAAGTCACGGTTTTCCTTTGGTGGCACCCTGTTGCCCCTGTTCCCTATGCTCCTCGTAGCTTTGTGACGGCGCCTACGCATCTGAGGATGGTGTTCATCACCCCTCCAAAGTGCAGGTGGTATAGGGGAGGAGACTCCCAACCTGAAAGACACCTGGGCTGAGTTCATGTTCTTTAAATCAAAAGAATGAAATGTAGGAACAACAGAGGTTAAAAGCGGAATGTATTTATTGGGGAAAAGAAAGCTTCCGTCCAAGAGAGGGACAGAGGGAGACCCGGGTGGGTTGCCAAGGAACTTGTTTTCCTAGGGATTTTTTTAGAGTAAATCCATGAGGTCAGGTGGGTCGAGGGTGGGAAACCTGGGAACCCACTTAGGTGGGTGTGAGGTGGGACACAGCTGTGGTCCACCAATAAGGTTCCAAGCTCAGTTGCTCAGGTAAAATTAAGTTGCGGTCAAATAGGGAAGTGAGTCACAGAGCGAGGGTGGTGAGCACAGAACTGGGCTCTTCCTGTGGGCAGTTGGGTTAGTGACTCCCCCTGGCCTTTTCAAGCTGATAGAGACCTAGTTAGAATACCACTCCCTGACGGCAGTCCCTGGGGAGGCATGTCTGTTGTCTAGAGGTCTGGCCCACAGCAGGATGCCTGTCTCTCCCACAGTTGCAAGGTATCTCGTCTTCCACAGGGGCTCCTTGAGGGCCCCGCCCTGTCTGACTGCCTGTCGTGTTTCTGTCTAACTCAGCTGCTTAGCACACGGGAACTGGCGTCAGTGAGAAAGCCCTCCACCTGGGGGCAGGCAGGGAAGGGGCTGGGCTGATGTCCTGTGCAGTAGGACACAGACATGGGTGGCTGTGGACACTAGGTCCGGGAGACTGCGCCCAATGGCCGGGGCAGCTGGGTTCTGCGGCATCAGCCCCGTGTGGGCCTGGGTCATGGCTAATGGAGCTCGGTGTGGAGTGCAGGCCTCGGCCGTTCTGGGGTCCAGAGTGGAGTCACTGCAGACGGCAGCGTCCGTCCAGGCGTGGAAGCAGAGGTCCACTGCAGACACACACGAGGCAGAGGCTGGAGCTAACTGCGGGTGCGCGCGCGACAAGGGGGCTGGTGGCTGCGCAGCTCCAGAGGCCACTGTGGACCAGCAGCGGGCATCAGACTGTTTGCGTGCACACAGGCAGCTGAAAGGCTGAGCTGCAGGTGCTTGCACATGCGCGGTGGGGGGCCAGGTGCAGGTGTAAGCGGAAGGGTGAGGGTGGGAGTCGGGGTTGGGCCAGCTCTGTAGACCAGCTCGCCTGGGCAGCTGAAGCTGGCAGCGTGCAGGTGCCAGACTGCAGGGGTTAAAGTTCTTCAGAACAGTGGGGGCAAAGCCCGCAGAAGAGCCCAAGACCCTAGCCGGCATACGTGCAGCTTCTGCACAGGGTCCCGGACCCAGAGAGCCTGCAGTGCAGTGAGGCGGGTGGTTCTGGGAAAGTGGGTGGTGGGCGGGCACCTGGAGAATCCAAAGCCCACTGCGGGTGTCCCTAGGTCTGGCCATGGGAGGAAAGCTCCAGTGGCTCCAGGGAGAGAGGAGGCGGACTGTCAACTGCTGGCCAGGGCCCAGTGGCTCCAGGGAGAGAGGAGGCGGACTGTCAACTGCTGGCCAGGGCCCAGTGGCTCCAGGGAGAGAGGAGGCGGACTGTCAACTGCTGGCCAGGGCCCAGTGGCTCCAGGGAGAGAGGAGGCGGACTGTCAACTGCTGGCCAGGGCCCAGGCCAGGGCCACAGCAGCCATAGCAGCCATCTGGCTCTAGGCGGCTCCACAGAGCAGGAAGGGAGACGGGGCTGAGACCCCTGGAGATGGCAGAAACAGGTGTTTTCTCGGCCACTGGCAGCAGTTTTGCTCTCCTGAAAGCCAGCGTCTGGGGTCCACAATCACACACGCTGTGGGTCCTCAGGGTGAGGCCCTCTGGGGAGACCCCTGTGCACAGAAGGTCCTGCCGTCACCGTGGTGCTGCAGGGCCTGGCCCCCTCCTGTTGCCCCAGGTCTCCAGGCATCCAGGCTCTGTGGTCCCCACGGAGACCTCAGGCTGCACAGCCGGCTCTCGGCAGGTGCAGTGTGGGCGGGCTCCTCTCCACCGAGCAGAGCCCGCCCAGGCCCTGACACTGGCTAAGGAAACCGTGCAGCCTAGTCTTCTTGTAGTTCTTCGTGGGATTTTCCCCCCTTTCTTCCAGTCTACTGCTGCATTTCCTTAAATGGAGCCCTGTGCTCCTGGAATAAGGAAGGTTTCGGCCCCGCCTGACTGCCCTTACCTCTTCACTCTTTGTCTCACTGTTAAAATGTACTGATGGTTAGGTAGAAGGAACACATGAAACCGCCCCCCAAGCCTCGGGTACTGTGGGGTCCTCCGGGCTTGCGCTGACCACGTGGGGACGGTTTGGAGGTGAGCTGTTTGCTCCCACGGGACGTCGGGCTCGTTCTTACCCATCACTAATTTACTCAGTGACTGCTTGCAAGTGACATTAGCAGTGGCTTGTCAACAAGTCCCAGTGGCAGTCAGTGCCCTCCACTTCTACCTGCTGCTCCCATGCTGCAAACCAGCTCCTGCCCCTCACACGAGGGCAGCTCCCTGGGCTGGTCCTCATAGAGCCCACCCAGTTTTTTATTCCCCCCATTCATGCTTAGACAAATCCAGTCCTACAACACGATTGCATGCTTATGTTTTAAAATGGAAACACCCTCAAAGGAAGTCACAAACTCCACCTATTCATGCTGTGACCGCCACACTTTAAACTGACGAAATCCGGGGAGCCCCCTACCTGTGCACCTCGGAGATGTTCCCACACTCTGGGAGCACTGGAAACGCCTTGCCTCGGAGCCCAAGTCACACTGATGATCGCGGGGCTGCGTGTCAGCGCCGCGGGTCACCGGCGGGAGCTTCGTGCACCTGGGCTCCTTGTCCTTGGGCAGCAGCACTTGAGCCACTTTCCACGCCAATGTGCTTCTTGTAAGAGGGCTTCTGTGCTCCCCGCTGCCCTCCTCCATCAGCCGCTGTCTCGATTTCTTTTGGGAGCAAAGATCCTGAGCCAAGCAGAGGGCAAGGCTGTGCAGGAGGGAGCTAGGCACAGAGAGCTGCTTCCGGGGCCACTGGCGGAGCCCAGTCCCGGAAGGCATGTTGCTTCTTACAGCTTGAGACTTTATTGACTAGCAAAAATCTCTGCTTTATTGAGCACATACGAGTTAGTGACATCCAGCTGTATTCCTCAGAAGTGAGCCCCTCTTGGGCTGCCTTTGCTGTGCTTTTTTTTTTTTTTTTTGTACCAGGCATCAAACTCAGGACCTTGTGCTTGCCAGACAGGCACTTAAGCCACTGAGCTATCTACTGGCCCCTGCCACCCACTTCTGATACCAATGGAATGTTCTGCAAAACCACAGCCCCCACACTCACCTGTTTTCCCAACAAGACCATTCTTCTGAAGCCGTTCACACGCAGCCACACATGCAGGGATGGTGGGGTCCTGGACCCCACTGTGGGCCGGGCACTCTCTCTGGACCATGTCCTCAGCTCTGGCTTCTCTGTGCAGGCAGCATGGAGCGAGCTGTCACAGTGCCACAGACACCCGCAGGCAGTGCCCCTTCATGAGGAGCCCTCCCATTTCCCAAGAGTCGTCCCATCCTCCTGTAGCCCAGTGTCTCCCTTCACGTTACCTTCAGTGTCGCTTAGTGCCAGGGCATTAGCCAGTGTCACTGGTGTAACAACCGCAAAGTTTGATAATTACAAGAACAAACACACGCTTTCCCACTCACTGGAGTTCTGTTCAATGCCGAATGCAGGCTTGTTCCATGTGCCTTCATTCTGGAGTCTACACCAAGCGCAGCAAACGTCCAGGGAGCGGGCGCCTCACGAAACTGGTGGGGACGCGCTCTGTCTCAGCAGACTGGCTCGGAACTGGCCAGTGCTGCTCTGTCAAAGCATGGCTGTATAAAATCCAGGGGCAGAAAGGTAGGAAGGAGCCTCCTGCGGCACGTGCAGAGGCCACAGTCCCGAGGCAACGTGTGCAGTTAGAGCAGGAAAGAGAAAGGGTACTGGGGCAGCTGTTCAGTTGGCCTCCGCCATTTCTCTGAACCACCACCCCCCGGAAACCCTTGGGGGAAGCCCCCAATGCAAACCTCTGGCAACTCTGGGAACATACGTGCAAAGCTCTGCCTACTGCCCCAAGCCTGAGATGCAGCCTCTGTCTGGAGCGCTCTGAAAATTCTCACCCCGTGTTCATCCTCTACCGCTGGCTTTATGAGGGCAGAGGACAACATATTTTAAAGACACAGCTGTGTCTCCTAGACAGGCCTGAAAAGGCCCGTGGGGCCTGGGGCAGGTGAGCCAGCAGGGCTTCGGAGGGCATCCCACCCATCTCCTTACCCTGGGCTGCCCTGCACTCCCCTTTGCACAAGGTAGACTACAGCAGTGCTCGACTTCTTGTCCAAGAGACAGGCCCGTGACGAGCCGGTAGTGTCTTCAGGCCAAGTGCAGTCTCCCAGGAGTGGGACTTCTTCTGGTGCGGTTGGAACAAATGTCCACCCTTGTCACGTCAGCTCTTGCTAGTTACAGGGCATTCTGTGGACACCAAACATAGCAATCAGGAAGCCAAACTCGAGTGACCCCTCTGGACTCCTGAAAGCAGATAATACCCAGAAGAGGCGGCAGTAATGAAAGGCAGGCACCACGTCCAAGGGCGACCCACTAGGTCTCATCTCTCGGCCCTGACATCAGAAGGAAATCTGAGGGCTAGATCTTGGGTTTTGCCAGGAAATGATTAGTTGTTTAGCAGGGACAAATATCAGTGGGCTGAAGCAAGAAGCTTCAAAAGTCTTTCATTTTAAGATTCTTTTCAAAGGTAACTAGTGTCATTTTTTTCTATATCTCTCTACAGGAAAGGAGTCCGCTCACCCGCCATAACTCATTAGTCACAGCTCAGTTACGATGCCAAGAAGATACAACATCAGAGAGGAGACCAAGGCCCTGGGGGTAAGGCTCGGCGCCGCAGGCCTGGCGAGTGAGAGGCACTGCCTCCCGCCGACCATAAGAACACGGGACCTCATGCGCAGGGGGCTCCCAGTGGGTAGAGGTGACGGGCGTGCTTTGAGGGGAAGCCTGTCAGATGCACATTACAGCTCCGCAGTCCGTGCCCAAGCGTGTCAGCACTGTCACAGATACCCGTGGTCTTAGCCAACATTCTGAGACTGCTGGGTGGTTGGTATCTTGCTTTGCTAGTTGCTGAAGCAGAGCAGTAGGTCCAGCCAGGAGGTCAAATTGTGATCCCCCAAATCAAAAGACCCCGGCACTAAGGTCCTGGTGGTGAGCTGTCGGCAAGCTCTCCTACCTTCCACTCGGGCCTCAGTCCTGGAAGGTGTCCCTGACCTCCCCCTTGCCTCTCCTCCAATTTAAAGTTCTGTAACCTGTCATGGTATCCACCAGTGTTCGTGGAGCTTGATTAACTCATATGTCTAAGTCAGCACCAGGAAAATCGCCAGCACACTGTGCGTATGATTATCTCCAGCTGGCTGGGCCCTGCCTGTTATGCCAGGTGGCGCGGGCAGGCGGGCATGCAGTGCAGCACTGTGTAGAGTAAGAGCAGGAGCCGCTGGCTGCCCCCCATCCCAGCCCCTGGGCTTGCCCCCGACCTCCTTTTGCGGCCTCAGGGAGGCTGGGAATTCATTGCTTTATAAGCCCCACTTGCCCGTGAGGTTCTGCGATGTTCTAGCAGCCGTGGTCTTGGGGCTCTTTGAGGGCAGGCCTAGAAGCTTCAGGTCACATGCTCAGCACGTGAGTGGAGAATCCGTCCGTGCGCTCAGTCCTTGCTCTCCCGACGTTGCCTTGTGACGCTAAGAGCAGCTGCCCAGTCTCAGCACATCAATTATTAGACAAGATGGTGCAAAAGCGTTCACTCAGGTCCTTGCTCCTTGCAGTGTCCGCCCCGAGTACCCAGTGGTGATATTTCGTGTGACTGCCCACTGACTCGGACTGCTCTTCCGCCTGCTGTGCTAACAGAGTCATTGGCATGCTGAACTCTAATCAGACAGCCAAATCCAGAAACCCAAAAGCCAGGTCACAAAACTGATGCTTCAAATTAATGTCCTTTGGAGTTACTCTTGGGATGCAAATCCGGGTTACTGAGTGTTCTCCAGGGAAACAGAAGCAACAGGACAAATCAGTACCCGGCAAGCAGGAGGCGCAGGAGAGCCAGTGCTCTTGTTCCACGCTGCACACAGGCTCGCTGGAGTCCCAGGCGAGTTGGGAACTGACTCACAATCTTCTGGAGAATTCCTTCCCAGGCCAGAGAGGCCAGACTCTGCTCTTGGGCGGCATTCAGCTGATTCCATGAGGCTCGTCTGCTTCATGGAAGGCAATCCAGTCAAGGCCCGTTGACTTTTTTAATTTTAAAAAGTATTTATTTATTTTTAAGCTTTATTTTATCACTCTTATCAAACACATATCAGAAAGCATATCAACAGTGCATCTTACGGTAAATCATTTTACAACAAAACTGAACAATGCAATTGTGTTTACCGAAAAAAGTTCTCAGCAAAAAGTACACAGTACAGTCCCCTGAAATGCTGTAAAGCAAAAGCAAATATTCCCATAGACGAAAGCCCCGCCCAGCCCCCAGGGGCTGCCGCCTCCCCGTCTGTTTTGTTCCTTTCTTGCACATAGTCCTTCAGCACTGCTGCAGAACCACCAGGGTCCCCGGCACACTCTTGTAAGCTCTGTGGCGCCTCAGTTACGATCATCTGTCACGGACGTCTGTCCCTGAAGAATAACGCTGGCTCTCTCTTCTTGCAGGCCTCACAAATAATGATCTCCCTCTTCCACTGCGCCCTGGGAACTTTCTGGGGTTTTTTGATGCAACTAGAAGAGGACTCAACCAGTGTTGGCCCTAAACCTCTGATTGTTGTCATAGCTTACTCGTTTGCTTCAGCATTCTTTGTGAGTAAACAATAGTATTAGTCACTTTGATTTTTTTTTCTGATGAATAAAATACTTTACTCAAGTGGCAGAGCAGTACACTAAGAACCCAATCTCCGACTTAAGTTGCTCATTTCAATTTTGAGACTGCTTGGAAATGTCGTTTTTACATTCATTGCATGCTTTGGTAAATTCCTCGAGAGGCTGAAACGTACATGCAAAAAATGTGGAAGGAGGTGCTCAAGTGGGATAACTGGAAAGATTTTTTTTTTTTTATAGTGAAAACCCAGAGGCTTGAGGTTAATGGCTGTGGTAGGAAAGACAATTTTTAGGGAGATTTTATAAGAAAAGAAGAGATTGAGAAGCCCAAGAGCATCTTCAGGAACTTAAGCGGAGATGACGAGGGCGGCCGCTGGGAGGCTGGTGCAGTAGCTCTACAGCATGCTGCGAAGGCCCCAAGCAGGCGCGCCCCACCACTCAGGGAGGCCCTCAGTCCCAGCTGCGCACAAGCTCTTCCAGTCCAAATATTGAATTCACCCCCCGGGGCACTTAGGCACAAGCCGCGTGGCCTCACACACAGCCAGCATTCCGTCTGTACTGAGGCACTCTGAGCTCCCGCTGAAGAGTTAGCCAAGGTCAGATTTCTCCCGAGGAAAAGGAGTTCACAAAATCTTCACCCCTCTCCACACTCCTCAACCCAAGACTGCAGGGCAGCTTGATCCCTGTGCTTGTGGGAAAGTCCCCAAGACTCACAGGAGCAGCCGCCTCACTCAGAAAGGGATATGGGACTTGATATCCTATTTACACACAAGTCCGCACCTTGTACAGCAACTAACCACTAAGAAGAATGTGTGCGGTGTGTTAATTATTGAAACTGTCCTACCGATCTGATTTGAAACTGTCTCATTGCTATTTGTTTATCAATAAAATTATGGAAAAAAAAAAAAAAGAAAGGGATATGGGAGCCCGTGTTCCAAGGACAGGCATTTTCTCAGAGGCGACACAAGGCAGTCCTCTAGAGGAAGCTGTTTAACAATGTGGGAACTTTCTGGAAAAGGGTATAATTAAGATATTTGAATGAAATAACACAAAAAAATCAGCACTACAAAGCATTTAGAAAGGACCCAAAGCCCAAGATGTAGGTAAGACATTGATATCAAAAATAATGATTATTCAATTTTGTATCTCTTTTGTATTGGGTATCTCTGTAGATTAAGGTGTTTATGTCAAAAATGAGCCACAAATAATACCTGATTGCCACGAGAACCTCATGAGATGACTTTCATTCATCCCCGTTGTACAAATGGGGAGCCCAGGCAGGGCCTGCAGAATTCAAGTGCCTCTTGTAGAATCACACAGCAGTCAGAGGTCTTTTAAAAAACTTGAATCAAGCTGCTTCTGTTTCCATGATAGCATCTCATTTTCCAGGACTGAGATTCCAGGATTCCTGACCCTCTTCTTAGCATAACTGAGTCATCTTTTGTGGCTGCTGCTGCCAGGTATAAGATAACCACTGGAGGAAAGATAAATTCTTGCTCTACTGGAAAAATCCATTTGAACAGGACCAGCAGGCTTAGGACATGACACTTATAGAAGGAAACCCGTACATCTTCTGGTCAAACGCTTTCTCAGGCCATCTTCCATTGAGGGAATGTTTCTTCCACACCTTTATGAAAGGAGTAGGAGTTCTTGCAAGTGGAATCTGCCATACGAGCCCCTGCAACTATTTTCTAATCATCCAGGTCATGGGTCAACCAATAGCAAAGCAAGTGCAGTGCCGGCCACTCACCCCTCATAAAATCGCGGTGAGATCCAGAGCTGCAGCCCCTCTGCAGAGGCCTTATTAATGCTCAGAGACTAAAATATCTGCTCACTTCTGCGACAGAGAAATAGTGGGCCTGCCCCTCGCAGACTCTGCTGGGGATCACTGCAGTCCTGAAATGGGGCTTTCATGCTTAAGTACCTTCGGCAGAGGACACGATCACACGTTAGATGACACTGCAAATGCCCCTGGCAGTGGGAGAAAGATCTTTTTGCGGGGACCATCATCAGGCCCGGCGGCTCACACATGTTTGTTTCTGTTCCCAGTTCATGACGTCCGGATCCAGCAGTGTGATCCAGAAAGTTCCTTCGAGATCGCACAGGGTATGTTGGACCGTTGGGAGTGGCTCCACAGAGGCCAGCGTAACTGGTGCGAAGAGTAGGAGCTGTGGTGGCTGTTGAGCCAACTCTTTTGGAGGGGAGAAAACGTTTCCAGATTAACTGGGTAGGAAAGAGTCGCTATCAAGACGCACCCTGGCACATCTTGTCGGGGGAGGGCTGGGTGGCAACGCTTAGGGTGTGAGCAGTAGGGCAGATGGGAAATGTCCCGTAGAACAGAGCATCTCAGGCTCCGTAGCGCGGTGCCCATGACCAAAGAGACTCTGGCCTGCGTCTCAGCAGAAAGTGAGAAAGGAGGAACGGTGGTTGGGCTAAGTCGAGCTGGTGCTTCATTTTAGAATGGGAGGTAAGAAAAATAATGGATGAAAAGAGAAAAGTCGGATTTGGTAAGCAGTATTAGAATGCAGGCCTGGAGGTCCTTCCTTCCGCCCACCGGGGGCCGGGCCCTGCCTTGCGTAGAGCCCCCTGCCCCCACGGCCTGCCGTGGGCAGCTCGCAGCATGGCAGCACATGGGACGGGCTCACTGCTCCTTTCCTGTCTTCTGGCCGTGTGGCCGTGGCAGTGACCTCCCTGTGTGCTTCAGTCCTCTCCAGAAGTACACGGGCAGTAACGGTACTGCCGTGGGATGAAGAATGAAATGAGTAAATAAGCACAGGCCACAGTGCCCGGCACAAGGCAGCGCACCCCAGCACAAGGCAGCGCACCCCGGGCTTCTCGAAACCGCCTGAGGAAAGCACATGTGCTTCCAGGGGCTGCTGAAAGATGAAAGTAAAAGCTTTGTTTCATATTTAAAAAACAAAAAAACTCTGCCTTTGTTTCTCTGATCAAAGAGCAAGTCAAAGAGGCACAGGAGGGCCTCCGTTCCAGCGCAGCCTGGCAGCTACAGTCATAAACACTAAGGTTTTTACACTTTTAACTTCTAACATTACCCAGGCAGGCACTGTTGGCATCATGGAGTATCATTCTCCACCCTATCACTTTCGGTCTGTGTATGCATAGGGCAGCAAGGTGAGTTTCTTGAAGACAGCTAGGTGTTGGGCCTTTCTTTCTGAATCCACTCAGTGTTTGATTGTAGAGTAAAGCCACTAGCATTCAGGTTTATTATTGAAGGTGTATACTAGCCCCTGTCATTTTGTTATTTTTCTTGTGGTTATTTTGGATGATTTATGTTCATTGCTTTTTATGTATTTTGCATAGGGTCTCACTCCACAGCTCACACTCCTAGTGATCCACCTGTCTCAGCCTCCCCAGCACCGAGATTACAGGCATGTGCCACCATGCCCAGTCTCAGTGGCCCTCGGTGCGCCTGGAGGCAGGGCAGTATAGTGTGTGGTGCCAGGGATCAAACCCTGGTCCTTGCACTTGCCTGAGCAGGCGCTTACTCCATTGAACTATCTCACTGGCCCACTTTTTCTATTATTTATCTTAGAGATTTCAGTAGAATGAATAGTGTTTGATTTTTTCCTAATTCTTATTGTTCGTGGTTTTACTAAGTTTTATTATTTCTTGTGCACTCATGGTTTTATCTTGCTTTCTCTTAAGTGTAGGATTCATTTAAGCATTGTCTATAATGCTGATTTTGTGTTCATAAATTCCTTTAGTGTATGCTTATGTTGGAAGGTTTTCTTTCTACTTTGATTTCTTTTTTTTTTTTTTTTTTTTTTTTTGTATTTTAGGGAAGAGTCTACGGGGTGTTCAGGGTCTCACTACCAGACTGCAGTAATCCACCTATTTATAGCCTCCAAGAGCTGAGATTACAGGCATATACCACCACGCTCAGTCTCAGTTGCCATCTCAATGCACCCGGGGGGCAGGGTCATACAGCAGGCCTGGGGATCAAACCCCTGGCCCTGAGCCTGCTTGCAGTGCCCAGTGCATGGGCCTCAGAGAGCCCCTCCCACTGACCAAGCCTCAGTGTCATGTGGCCACTTCAGGTGGACACAAACCTAGTAGAGATGACTCAGTCAGTATACCCAAGGTATGACAAAAGCTTAAGCCATGAAGTATCCACAGGTTGCCTCTGAGTTGGGGGAACCATCAAACCACCGAGTCCTAGGCTGGGGCGTGCCTCGGACGCACCTTCAGAGATTACTCCTGCAGCTCCTGAGCAACAGAAATAAGAAACTTGGTCACCAAGGTCTTGGCTCCCTCAGACCCGCCTCCCTCCCTCGCGAAGCCCCGTGCTCCTGGTCTTGCTCCTCGTCACAGAGCGCAGGACCGCTGGCCACTGGATCCTCCCACCCCACCACGGCCCAGTCTCCACAGATGAACCCTCTCCAGAGGTCATGTGGGGGCTCCCCAGCCACCGCAGTCCTGTATGGCTATCTCTCACCAATCAATGTCTTGGGGTGCTCAAGGGAACCCAACTTGATTATTCTATTTTTCTAAACCCCAGAAGAGTTTAGTCCTAACCACAGAACCTTCTTGGGATGAGTTTGGTGGACCCTGAGGGCTTGCTCAATAAGACATTAAACTTCATCTCTAAAGCGAGCTTCCTGCGCACAAGGAGCTATTCTCAGACTGAATCCCAAAAGCGGATTGAATCGATTCTCTGCAAGTAGCACTGCCAGTCTGCTGCCACTGCTGGCATCGATTGCATTCCCTGGTGGCCAGACACCTTTCAGTGATGGATTCCCCAAACCCAGTTACTGGGGAGCTGGGACTGAAGTTGTGGCTTGCTTCCTACCTTTGTCTGAGTGTTTTCTGATTCCCAAAGCTATTTAAGTTCTTGTTAGTTCTTTGCTGATTCCCAGAGTTGCTCTTTGTATTCCTTTCCCAAGTATAGATTCTTTGTTATCACCCTAACTCTTCTTGTGGAGTTGCACAAAGCCCCTGCTGCTCGCTGCCATGCTGCCTTCCGCGCTCCATGAGCCATTGCTCCTTGCAGTGCCCCCTGCCTTGCTGCCCAGCCTCGGAGGCAGCCAGATTCCAACTGGACCCTCTACAAACCATGGGCCAAATGAGCCTTTCCTCCTTTAACTTTGGGTGCTAGGTACTTTTCTCAACACCCAGGAGAGTAACTGAGACAATGGACATTTGAGTCAATTCCACTTTCATGGCTGCTATAGAGGTAGCCACGTGACTCCTAACACACATGCTGAGAAATGGGAAGCAGGCAGCTCAGGCCACTTGGCTCTGTGCAGCCATCAGAGGCCACTGGATAAGTGGGCTGACCGTCTGGGCTGGCATGTTCTTGTCTCGAGTTTTCAAGGCTGATCACTTTCCAGTTAGGTCTTACTTTTAGGAAACATGAGATGTTCTTGAATAATTGTTTCTTCGCTTGCTGTATATCCTTATGGCTTTCTCCGGAGATCTTAAATAATCAGAATTATTTTCACCATTTTCAAACTTTGGCTGGGGAGTTGGTTCAGAGTTCTTTACAGCTTCACACTGGAAGAAGAAATCGGAGGGGCCTGGGAGATAGCTCGGCAGTGTAAGTGCCTGCCTGGCAAGCGCAGGACCCAGGTTTAGTCCCCAGCACCTCGTGCCATGTCGGCCTGGCACCGAGCTGGCCACCAAAATCAGTCATGGTGGTGCACAGCAGTAATCCCAGAGCTGGGGAGGCTGAGGTAGGAGGATCACACAAGTCTGAGCTGTGTAGTGAGACCCCATTCCAAATCAATAAATAAACATTTTTTAATAAAAGGAAATCTGAAACATAAATATCCCTGGATAAGTGACCCTGGTTCCCAGACTTCTCCGTCTCATGAATGGCCACCCAGTAAGTGAGGAGAAACACTGACATGACCACGCGTCTTCTGGGGCACCATGGCCTGCCCTTGTGCCAAGTAGGTCTTCTGCTGCTGCCGGCGTGCCAACTCCAGTGGTACACACCCACTAAAACGAAACCTGAGGTTCTTGGCACATCGCCCTGATCGTGATTTCTCGCAGCCCTGCAGCCTCTGGCCACACGCCACCGCCAGCCCGTGAGCATTCTACGCGTCTAGCTCCCCCACACGCCAGGTGCTTCCCTAACCCCTGTTCTCCTCCCTCTTGTAATTTTCCACACGCGGTCCTCTCTTTCGGAACGCCCTTCCCCACTCTCCTCCACCACCACGGGCTGGCTCTCGTAAGCAAACGTGGGCTCCGTGGAGGTGCAGCAGGTGAAGGACGTGGCGGCTCCTGTCCCAGGAGATCACAGCTGCCCTCTGACTCCAGCGTCACCTCTGCCCCGGCGCGCGAACCACGCTCTGCGTGGCGTGGATTCCAGCATTCTCCTCACTTCTGAGTCCCTTTCTCAGGATTGCCGTCCCTCAGGGAGCACGCGGGCAGTGCCACTGTCGTGCACTGCAAGTCTGCAAGCGGCAGGAGCTCTTTCCTCTGGCTTTCAAAGTAAAAGTTAGAAAGCTTTTCATAAAACCATGTAGGAAAGCCCTTAAAATAGTAGAGGGCTTCCAACAGAAGACTCATATGCCACTTAGATTCTTCCTTTCACGACTAGCAGCAAAATCACATCCTTTTTCTCATTTCTACAGAAAGAAACCTCTTCTCCTTCATGTGTCACCATCTCTCTCACACACCCAGAACCCAGCCCTGCCTAAAAGGGGAGCCATCTTCCTTCAGGGGTCCTGCAAATTCTTCCATGTCGTTCAAAATAGGGCAATTTCTGTCGCAAAACACGTTTGGAGGGGCCAGTGAGATAGCTTGGCAGTCTAAAGCACCTGCTTAGGCAAGCACAGGGACCATGGTTCGATCCCCAGCACCACATGCCACGCCAGCCATGCCCCCAGGGCAGGCTGAGCCAGCCACAAAAAAAAAAAAAAAAGCGAAGTTTGAAAACCATTAAAAGCTGTTTTTTTTTTTTTTCTGACTGCTTTTTTTATGGTACCAGAAATTGAACTCTGGGCCTCGCACACGCTATGCGACTGCTTTCCCACAAAGCTGCAGCGCCAGGCCAGACACAGTGGCACTCGCCTGTAATCCCAGCACTTGGGAGGCTGAGGCAGGAGGATTGTTGGGAGTTCAAGACCAGCCTGGGCTGCAAAGTGAGCTCAAGGCCAGCCTGAATTGTATAGTGAGACCCTGTCTCAAACACACATACACACACACACACACACACACACACCCCTACAACTACAGCCCACCAAGTTATCTGTTCCATATCATGACATTTATTAAATTTCATTAGATAAAATTCAGTTTAGTGTTTCGTGTCTTCCCATCAGATCATAAGCTTCACCAGTTGAAACTTGACACTGTCTTTGGCGTGAAGTTTAGCACGTTGTAGGCATTATGTAACCCTTTATGGCATCACTTCATACATTAATATACATTAATATATCTTCTGAAGATAAAAATGTTTTACTCTGCTGGCCTCTAGACAAATTTGAGCTGGATTCCTAATATTAGCCATTATAAAATTCCACAAAGACAAATTAAAAATTAAAAACTCCAACTTGTATGTTATAGGCAGTATGACAGACAGTTGATTCATCAAAATCTGTTCGTGCCACCCATAACTGGTTTCTCTTTGCCTGTCTATTACAGCTTATTTTAGCAATTGTGTTGAACATCCTAAGTATCCTCGTGGCTATAGCTGGTTTAATGATATTAGGCTTTGAATTTGTAATGTTTGAAGAAAAATCAGAGGAATATACCTGGTCAAATGTAAGTACCAATTTTAATAATAACTTAATCAAAATTTTAGATATAGATTAAAAAAAACCATTGTGAATAATGTATGTTGAACCAAGTTAGGTACAGAAAAGGATACTGAATTTTTAAACCATTTTTGCCATAGGGATATAAACATAAACTGCATTTCCTCCAAATTTTCTCATTATCATACTAAAAACTTCATTCCCTCCAAAATTTGGAAACATCAGAATCCTCAAAGAGAGATAAAATTTTACTACCATCTCAAGTTAAAATGACAGGATAATCTAGAAACCTGCTTCAAAAGGGTGCCAAAAAAATCAGTAATGTAGCTGGATAAAAGAAAAGCCTAAAAGGCTATAAATGCTTAAATCGGGTGTGATGGTGCAGGCCTGTAACCTCAGGCCTGGGGAGACTGAAAACAGGAGGATGGCTGCAAGTCTCAGCTGCATACGGAGACTCTATACCAAAGATATAAATTACTAAAAAATTATAAATGTTTTTAATGCTATAAATAATGACTCAGACATTTAAGTAATGTGTTTTCTAGTTCCACAAACTTGCAGTAGGAAGAAAATTTTCCCTGGGATGGAGCATCCTCACTTCTCTCCCCTAACAGTCAGTAACAGTCCGAGATTTTCCGTTTGATGGTACTTAAGATAGATAGATGCTGGAGGAGAGCAGCACTTCTGCGGATGTTACGATCAAGGGAATACATTTTTCACGTGGGAGGGACTTGAATTTAGGGCACTAGATGTAAATAACTGAAGGTTGAACTGCATTCCAAAAATGAACTTTTGGAATCCCAACCCAGCGGACTTCAGAATATGACTTTTTTAGGAAAGAAGTCTCTGAAGATATGATTAGTAAAATTGAAATGGGGTCACATTGAATTAGGGCAGACCATTAACCCAATATGAGTGAGACCCTATGAGGAAAAGGGGCATTCAGCTGTAAGGAGGGAAACAGTCTATAAGGAATATGTCCGCGTCGACCCAGCAGCAGCAATAGGGGCTGCCGTGCACCGAGGGAGACCTGGGCTTCCACACTCTAAGGAGCCAGGTAGGACCCTCCTCAGACACTTCGGGGGGACCATGGTCCTGCCCGTATCTTTTGTTTTGTTTTTAATACAGGGCCTCGCTACTAGTGATCCTCCTGTCTCTGCCTCCCTCGTGCTGGGATTACAGGCACATGCCTTCACGTGCCCCGGGGTTCCAGGGATTGAACTCAGGACCTTGCTCTTGCCAGGCAGGCACTTATACCACTGAGCTCTCTCCCCAGCCCTTCTGCCAGTATCCTGATTTTGGGTTTCAGCATCCCTAACCATGGGAGAGAGAATTTCCGCAGTGTCAGGCCGCACAGTTGGTGGTAATTCACCACAGCAGCCCAGGACATGCACCCAGGAGGCCAGTGATGGTCCCTGCTCTCGTGTTCTGAGCCCAGTAAGGCAGGATACAAGACCAAGCAAACGTAGACCACGTGATCAGCTGGACTAATGATTATTCCAGTTGGAGAACAAGCTTCAGATCTTTAGCCAAATGAGCTCACTAGTACTGCCCCTCCTGAGTTAAACTCATCCACCTAGTTCTGTCTGAGCTAAACTTCTCCACCTAGACAGACTGCAGGCCGTGGTCCCCTCCTGGGGGTCAGGTAATTATCAGACACCCAAGGGAAAAAGCCAGCATTACAGATAGAGCCCATTCTAGGAGAGGAAAAAAGAGGACCAGGAAGATCTGGGTTCCTTCTCTTAAATTTACCACTCACCAGAGTCCCTGCTCTTCACGTGCGGAGATGCAAGTAGACAGAAATGAGAAATACTGTAAAATGCTTTCACCTGTGTCTAAGAGAGAAGAAACTCTTACTTTAGTTCATGCTAAGAAGGGGCGAGAGTGTTCCACCTGATTTGTGGAATACTACTCAAGGCCTGTAAAGCAAAGAAAACGGAGCTGCAGCTGAGTGGCAAAGCATTGAGCACAGCCTCTGACTGGACTCACTGAGACGGAGAGCAGGAAAATGAAAAATAGAGCTCCAGGGCTGACTTCTGCAGAACTCCAGCCGCCTGTGGTACTGTTCCCTGAGCTCTACTTTCCAGCCTTGTCCTGTGTAAAACAGGAGCAGCAGTACATGTGTGTAGGGTTGTTCTTAGAATTAAAGTGCTCAAGAGGGGCTGGGGAGGTAGCTCAGTGGCATCTGCCTGGCAAGCGCAAGGTCCTGAGTTCGATCCCTGGTACCCACCCAGAAAAAGAATTAAAGTTCTTAAGAGGTGTTCGGTACAAACAGAAGTAGTTGATTTAAAATATGCTTTCCTTGTTATGAAAAATACTCCAAACCAGTCATAGTTGTGCAAAACTGCTACGACAAGCGAAGTCTGGCCCCTGCTGGTAAATGTTGTGCTCGCACGACTTAGCGCGGCCCCCTGACTGCACGCTGCTTCTTGTCTCCTGGTCCAGATGGCCGGCATGATGCTCATACACTACTTGATACTAAGCACCGTCGCGGAACTGGTCCTCACGTGCATGGTCATCCACTGGATGAGAAGAGCCTTCCACCACGAAGTCGTTCCTGAAAAATTTAGTTAGTAATTTTGTTTCTGGCTGTCAAAGGAAGATGAAACAGTTAAGATTCTTCTCTGAGGGTCTCACGTATGCCTAGAACTGGTAAAAACACATTTTGCTTCTAAAGTAAGGTTAAATGTGCCCAGCACCCACCGGGCTATCTTCCGCTTGATTTTGCCACAACCTGAAGTCAGACACCTGCCCCTGG